TCAGGAGCTCATGGAGGAAGGACAGAGGCAGAGGGACAGCAGCCTGTCACAGACACTGGATGGTGTCCAGGAGCAAAGGAAGCTGGGGCAGCACCAAGGCCACCAGGCTGGGAGCTGAGCAGGGCTGGCCGGAAGTGTGGTGGGTGTTACAGCTACACCTACAACACCCCCAAGGCCTCCCTGCAGAGCGTGGATGAACCAGGAAACACTGCTCATCCACAAACTCGTCATGGGTGAACTCTGGCCGATGGGCTATTAGCAGGTGGGAACTGGTGGAGGGGGTCCCTGGGGCGTGGCCTGGGTGTCGTCGTCCCCACCTGCGGCTCTGGCTGTCCACTTCCTGGCTGCTATGCTGAGAACACCTGTCCTCCGCCAGGCCCCTCCGCCATCCTGCTGCTCTCACCCCCGCCCCCAGGCCCCAACTGAAGCCGTGAGCCAACACACAAGTGCCCAGTCTTTCATCCCAGAAGGTGGCTAACAGTGGTGGACAGTGACAGATGGGAATGGTGGGCTGCAGTGCTGGCCACCCCGAGCCCTGGAGGAGCAGGACGTAGGAGGAGCAGGCCTGAGTCTTCATCTCCTACCACAAGCAGCTGGCCCTGCTCCCTTCCTGGCCTCCAGGTGGACACCGCCCAAGCCCCAAGTTCCACTCTAGGCCACTCCTGATCTTTAGGGGACATCTGAGCCCCGGTCTGCTTGCCCTGGGGTACTGCTAACCCAGGCGGCCCAGTGGGCAACCAGGGGCAGTAGGGAGGACTTGGGGCTCAGCTGCTCCCCTCCATTTGTGATTCTCACAGCAAGATGGCTCAATATGAGTGGTCTCGGGGACACTGCTTCCCAAGGCTGGTTTCAGCTCACTTCCTCCTGGTCCAAGGCCTGTGCCAGGCTGAACTCAAGACAGCACTCTTCTAAGCAACTGCAGCCAGGGCCACCGTCTCCCTCAGCTGGGCCTACGTGCATCTCGAAGGCTGTCACAATTGCAGGTTTGTAGGCACTGCAGGAAGGCGCAGTTCAGGCCCTCTTGTGGGAGCCAGGGGTGGCCCACCTCCAACCCATCCTGGGGGCTGGAACCCACAGCCCAGACCACAGCAGTCTGGCTGCTCCCAGAGCAAGTAGGCATCTTGCAAGGATGAGCAGGCCCTCACCACAGCTCACTGTTCAAAAAATGCCTCAACTTCCAGAGAAGAAAATAATTACCATATCTGGGCAAGGGCAACAAGTCTATAATCCAAGCACCCCAATTCTAGAAGGCCGAGCCAGGCGGGTCATAAATTTGAGCTTCATCTGCTAATCTTGATTTGGAGACAAAGCCAAGGTAGGGCACCCCAGGCGATTGAGGGCACAGCCCTGAGGATGCCATGTTCATACCTGAGACACCTGCACACTCAGGGAAGGATCCAGAGGTTCGATCAGGTAGATGTTAAGTGTTTTAAGCTATAAATAAACTGCTCAAGATGAAATTTCCAATCACCCCATATCTGGCAGTTCTGTAACCTTACCTGGTCCCCAAGGAACAGGCCAACAGCAAGGCCATACTGGGTCAGAAGTGGTGTCATGAGCCAGGCCTAGTGGCACATGCCTGTCATCCCACCACTAGGGAGGCTGAGGCAGGAAGATCGCTGAGTTCAAGGTCAGCCTGAACTGCAGAGTGAAGCCTTGCCTCAAAAAAAAAAAGTGAAAAATCAAACTGTCCATACTGCAACTTCTCTTGCCTTTTGAATTATGCTCTTTATTTTCTATATGCTACTTCTGGAGGTATTAAAATATTTCAAGTTTGTATAACTAGAGAATCTTACTTTTATTTTTCAAAGGTATGTTTGCAAGGTATAAAATTCAAAGAGCACAGATCTTTTCTTTCAGTCCTTTAGTCTAGTTTCTTACACACTTGGTCTTTTTTTTTTTTTTCTAATGTAGAATAAGGTGCTATTTAATTTTGTTCTTCCGTAGCTAATATTTTTTATGTATATGCTTTAATGATTTTTTTCTTTACAATAAATTTGGGACAATTTAAAAAAAAAAAAAAAAGAAGTGGTGTCATGGACTCAGTGAGTCCTTTATGCAATGCCACAGGGCCTACCACAGTCACTAAGCTGAGCCCAGCCACCACTTCTGGGCAGCAGGAAGGCCACTCTCAACTCAGGCACCTGCCTAGCCAAGGGACTTCCACCGGGAGGGTGCTGCCAGGTGTCCTTACCATATCCGCCCACTGCAGGCAATGCCGCTACCTGCAAGCGAGGAGGGACATGCCCCTCACTGGGCCAGGGAACACCAACCAGGTGCAGATGCAGGCCCCAGGGATTCTGCCTGAGGACCCCCGTAGGAGTAGGGTCTCACTGGACTGGTCTCTGGGCGTCCCCCAGTATCTGTCCTCTTCCCCAGAACACACAGCGACCTCTCAGGGTGTGTGGGCCCTGTACTAGGACAAGACAGCCACACTGAGCACCACTGCCCCCTGCTGGGCAGGGGGGTCATGAGGCTGGGGTACTGGGTGGCTGCAGGACTGGGAAAGGACCCAGCCTACGGCAAGAGGCAGTCTCCCTGCTGTCACCCACTTTATACCGCAGTCCCTGGCACAATCCTCTGGATGTGCTGGCCATGAGCCCTGCAGCCCAGCACCCACACAAGAGCTGGGCCTGCTGCATGGCCAGGAAGGGGCCCTTGGCATTCTTGGGGGTCTCCTGAGTTTGGCAGGACAAAGTTAACATCCACTGCTGGCAAAACACTCCAGGACCCAGGCCGGCGGGCGCTGGCAACTCAGAGACCCAGGGTCAGAATGGCGAGTCCACTGAGATGCCAGGCTGCTCCAGGGCACTGGCAGGGTCTCTCCACATGGTGCTCTCTGTCCCCGGAGAGGAAGCATGGGCCGAGATGGGAACAGCCACCCTAGCCTGCCTCCTGTGCAGCAGAGTGGGATAGCTTGGCTAGCTCCTGAGTAAGTGGTGAGGATCAGGTGGGCCCGGCTGTGTAGCCACTGGGCCAGGGGTCCCACAGCTGCCACCAAGGTCGATCCAAGCTGCAGTGTGGCACTCTAGCTATGCTGCCCATAGCCAATGGTGGGCAAGGCCAGGTGAATGCAAGAACCTCAGGTCACCCTGCAGGTGGCCAAACCACAAGATTGTTTTGCGGCTTTGCCACCGCCCCACGAGTTACTATGCCCCAACATCACAGAGGCAGTCCCCAGCGTTCCTGGGAGGAATTAACTGAAGTGGAGCTGTCTGACGACAGCACAGAGGTACTTTGTGGCCCCAGACCTAGGGAGTCCAAGGATAGGAGAAAGAACCACGTGGGAGAAGCTGTGCCCAGCCTCCCATGGCCACCAGGCTGCACAGCCGTGAGCAGAGCCTGGTATTAAGGGATAGGACACCAGGGACTCTAGGGAGGAAAGGCAGGGGTTCAGGGGCTATGGCTACAGGAGAATGGAGCTGGGTGGCTGGTGGTCTGGCCACTGGGCCACTGCTCTGGCCTGCCAGGCCCCTCAGGCTGCGTGGATGGAAGATGGCACATGACCCTGCCATAGCCTCCACGCTTAATCAGGAGGCCCCAAGAAGGCAGGGCTCCGATGACACCCATTAGTGACTTGGCCCACGCTCTGCTGGCTCAGCCAATTGCAGTGTCTCTACAAGGTATGATCAAAAACACAGTGAAGGGTTGGGGAGATAGCTTGGTAGTCTAAGCACATGCCTGGCAAGCGCAAGGTTCCAGGTTCAATCCCTGGTACTGCATGCAGTGCCAGCCCCAGAATCCAGGGGTACCATGCTAGCCCTGAAGGCACACCTGTAATCCCAGAGCGGGGATGGCTGAGACAAGAGCATCGCTGTAGTCTATACTGCACAGCAAGACCATGTGCAAAATTTTAAAAACTAAAACAAAAACGAAAAACAAGAACAAAAAAACACGGGGCCGGGGAGATGGCTCAGTGGAATAAGCGCTTCCCTGGCAAGTGCAAGGACCTGAGTTCAATTCCTGGTTCCGCAGGAAAAAAAAAAAACAGTGAAGCCAGGCATGGTGGTCATGCCTATAACCCCAACACTTGGGAGGCAGAGGCAGGAGAGCACCGAGAGTCTGAGGTGAGCCTAGGCTACTTAGTGAGTTCAAAGCTAGCCTGAACTGCATTAAGACCATCTCAAAAACAAAAATCAAGGGCCAGGGATACAGCTCAGGGGCACAAGCACCTGCCTGGCAAACGCAAGGTCCTGAGTTCCATTTAAGTACCAAAAAAAAAAAAAAGAAATCAAGAAGTCAGTGATGACTGCTGCCAAATGCCACACAAAGGTGAGGGAGGCTGGCCAAACACGGCAGTGAGCCCTGCCCTGCCTCGCCCACCAGGTCCAGCTGGTGCGGCTTCTGGCTCTTCCCAAAGTCAAAATGACCCGGAAAGGCTGACACGGAGTCCACTCAGGATGTCAAGGCAGCTGCGACAGTAACCGCAGACTCAGGAAAGGAGGCTCCAGAGCTGCTGCCAGAAGTGCCACGGACGATGGATGAGTGTGTCTGAAGTGACAGGAAGGATTCTGAGGGCTTTCTTGGCAATCTTTTTTTTGGCATTAGGGATCCAACTCAAAACCTCGCGCTTGTCAGGCAGGCCCTTGGGCCACTGAGCTACCTTCCTGGCCCAAGGCAGTGTATCTTTTACTGTAATACATTTTTTTTAAAAAAAATTTAATGTTCTCCATATTTCTTGACCAAAACACAGCTGGTAGGAGGTAGTCACTTGATGCTACCCACGGCCTCAGCTGGTAGCCCAGCCATCAGTGGGTCTTCCTCTGGACATGGCTTCCTCTGTGCCCTGCCCACCCGGTCCCTGCTCTCTGAGGTTCCCTCTCTTAAGCGGGGAGAGCCACAACACCCAGGGACCAATTCCCGTACGGCTGAGGCAGGAGAAGCTGCATACTGTGGTGGACGAGGACACGGCGGAGCCAGCCCCACCACGGGGCTCCAGGGGCAGCGCCAGCCTGGGGAGCAGGGGTCAGGGACGCGCGGCCCAGTGAACACGCGAGCCAGGAAGGAAACACCCGCACCCACATCCTGGACGCAGGCGGGCCCTTTATTCAGCTCCGAGCCGTCCAAGGCCCAGGTGTCCCATGCATACTCCCAGCGTTCCTGCACCTGGCTAGTGATGGTGCTGCTTGAACTGCAGGCCACAGTAGCCGCAGGTGCCTGTCTTTGTTTCTTTGTCCTGAAAAAAAATGAAAAAGGAAAGATCTCATTTCCCATTTCTCCCTCTAATCCACGTCAGATGTCAGGCTCTGAGGAGAATCACCTAGAAGTCCTGTCAGAACAGGGTTCCTGGACTGAACCACGAACCTGGCACCCACCTGAAGGCTGGTGCCGGGGCTTTGAAGTCACCCTGAGGGTCACCTGAGCACACTGCTTTCCCCACACCGCCACTTTAGGCATATGACTACAGCTGTGCTGCTCGCTGAGCCTCGGAGGACAGGGACAGTGCAGGTCCCCCAAGGGCATCCCAGACACACAGGACACCAGGCCATTCTCTGGGCTGCTCCACAGTCTACACCTGCTGTCCTGCAATGTCGGCTCTTCAGACAGCAACAAACAAAGGTCAGCGCCATGACGACGAGCCAGGCAGACACCACCCTCATGACGGGAGGACACCTCAGCCCGTGAGGCGCAGCCCTCCCCTCTGTCCAGGACATGGGTATGCACATGCCCAGTGCGACTCTCTTCACCTTCTTCCCTTTCTCATTTCTTTCTCCATGGTACTAGGCATGGAGCCAGGACCTTCCACAGCAGGCAAGTGCCAGTCACCGAGCCACTGGAAGTCATCCTGTGGCTTTTTCTCCTGTTCTACTCTGCACCCTGTGTGACATCAGACTATGGAGGGACTAGTAGGACAGGACTATCCCCTCTCGAGGTCACAGGTCGAAGCCCTAACCCTCCACAGGCCTGGCTACCTAGTGCCAATAAGGCCACTAGGCAGGGTCCTGAAAAGGAAGACCAGAGTCCTCAGAAGAAAACGGGACATCCACCAGTCAGCCTGGCGAGGACACGGCTGCGGGCTTCTAACTCCAAGGCCAAGCAGGAGCACCCGGGATGTCCAGGCTGCTGTGGCATGTGTGTGGTGGCCAGCAGACTAAACAGGGACCAGCAAGGACAGGGCAGAGGAGAGGGGCACCTGCGGCTTGAGGAGGGGAAGGCAATGCAGGGCCAAGCACACTGAACTGAAGCCAGTTTGTCTGTGGTGGCAACCCAGGCACACCACAGGCCACAGGAGCCATGGAAGGCGCAGGGGAGCAGCAGTGATAGCAAGACAGGTTGCATACCAGGTTTATGTACACCTTGGGGTGGCCCAGGGCACCCCCGCCGCCATCACAGGCGATCACCCGCTGGCCCACCTCACTCACAGGCTGTTCCGCTATGAGGTCAATGGCAAAGTTTTCATTTACCTAGAACAAGAAAAGGTGAAACTTAACATAGGCAAGTAAAAACTCCTCATCCTTACAGACAGTTTAGCTCAGGTAGGTGGCCCCACTCAGTACACACTCATCGACACACGATCTGGAGATCAACACCGCCCTCCTCTGAGGACACAGTTCAAGTCAGGCATCCGACACACACACACACACCCCCTTCCATGCTCACAGGAGCCATGCAAAGGACTGCATGCTGTCCCCATCCTGACAACAGTCAGGACTCCTCCGGGCCCCAGCCCTGCCGCATGCTGGCCTGTCTCTGCCCACACATGCACACTGTGACCCACACTGCATGCATGCACACACACACGCACGCACGCACACACAGGTCCACACCGCAGGTATGCACAGGATAGCTCCACTCTAAAGCACAACTCAGAGGCAGAGCCCAGCATCTCCTCTGATCACAGACGCTTCCCTTGCACTTTCAGGATCTGCAGGCACCGGAGTTGGCGCCTTCCTCTCAGTTCTCATGGGTGAGGAGACACTGTGTCCCCCACCGTGGACACACACATCACCCCTGTGTCCCTGCACCAAGACAAACACTGGCCCAGCTGAGAGCATGCAGAGCACACCAGAGACAGACATGTCCTGAGGAAAGGGCAGAAGGAAGTGAGGCCAGGCTGGACTAGAGCTTCAGGCACCTCCCATGCCAGCCAGCATGCGGGGCTCAGCGGGACCCTGAGTCCAACCACACAAATAGTCGGGCTGATTCTTCTGAGCCCCACCAGCCAGCTGGGGAGCTATGCAAGTGCTCAAGTGTGACCACTCGTGAAGGTGTCCACCCACACAGGGTTAGACCTGAGATCAAGGTGATCCTGGACATCTGTCCTGTGTGGCCTGGGGCTGGGGCCAGAAGCAGGAGCAGCCAGGCTGAGCCAGAGCCCACACCTCCATCCCAGAGGAGGAAACTACTGCACCCAGGCGCTCAGTTTCACAGCTGCTCCATCCAGCAGGTAGCTTTCAAATGGACAGGAAGCCAGGCAGGCCCTGACCCCGCCTCCATCAAAACCACCAGTCTGACCTCTGATGGAAAAGGTGGGTGGCAAGGCCTGATCTGCATCTGTTATGGTTTGTGTCTAGGTGTCCTCCCAAAGCCCCATGTGGTCTTGTGGGGCAGCATCCAGAGCCATGATTAATTTATGATCCAATGCTGGGGTGATGGGTCAGTGCTACACCCAGCAGGAGCACACAGCCTGAAGGCAATGTAAGGGAGGGAGAGGCTTCCTCTGCCTCTGCCACTGCTTCTCCCTTCTGCTCTTGCCGTTTTGCTGTTTTCCACCACTAAGAACCGCTGCCTTCTGCCATGTGGTGCTCTGCCTCGGAGCCAGCTGAGTATGGAATGAAACCTCTACAAACTGTGAGTTAAATAACCCTTGCCTTCCCTACTTAATTTTGGGTGTCAGGTATTTTGTCCCAGCAACAAGAGAAAAGTAACTGTGACAGAGTCTGTGGTGTGAAGAGAGCCCACCTGCAGTCCCCAGTACAGCCCACTCCCTCCCACACAGATCCCAGCCCTCAACACACCTCAACTGGGCCCTGTTTACGTGGGCAGACTCTGGGTCCACACCACACAATGCCATGGGTAAGGACCAGCACCACACAAATGAAGCCTTGTCTGTGAATAACAGCATCTACCAAAATGACAACAGGTGACAAAGATCTCACTAACAATTCTTAGGCCCCATCGTGCCAGTCAGAGGGACCAGGGTCTCTTGGGTGAAGGGCACAAGGCTGACCCACCATGCTGTGCTCCTGTCCTTGCAGGCAGCTCCAGAGCAACCCTGGCCTCCAATTACTGGCAGCTGAGCCCAGCACTCAGTGCAGCAGGAAAAGAGGGGAACCAGCAGCAGCACACCCCAGCCACCCATCTGCCCCCCACATCACCCCACGCCACACCTCCCGGCACTGCTCCCCTGGCTCTGCCTCGGGAAGGAGCAGAAAAGCACTGGGGTCGCAGGAGGAATCAACAGAGAGAACTGGCCCTGCCACATCCTAAACACCAGATCCGACCTGTAACTACTGCTAACACGCAGACGCAAATCACATTTCCATTTCTATCTCAATGATCAGCCACTGGCATACAGGCATTTAGGCCTGAATTCATTGTCTAAGTAGCCTGTTTTTGTTTCTTTGCCTCATGTTGTAGGGAGACCCTTCCTGTAATAGGTCTACTCCTTTATGTGAAACTGAGGTGAGGCCTATTAAAGATAAAATAAAATACATGATTCTATGCAACAATAGGAAGACCAACACAAAAAGAAAATAACCCCGGTAAATGTCAACGATCTGTGAAATACTGACTCCACCAATGGAAATTTCCAAGTTGCAAATTATTAAAGGCATCCAATATCTTTAAGATTAATCCTGACAATCATACCTGGCAGTCAAATGTCCGACAGATGAATGGACTACATGAGATATTTACACATCATGGAGTACTACTCTGCCATAAAGAAAGATAAACTTGATTTGTTTGTAGGAAACTAGCTACACCTTGAGACCATAATGGTAAGTCAAACAGACTGACACCCATGCCTACATATTATATACTTTCTCTTACGAAAGAAATTCAAGTTACAAATATAGAGCAAAACAAAAGATAACAGGAAATGGAGCTGGAGCTTTCTCACATGTGAAGGGGTTGAAAGGTGGAGGGGTGGACAGGGCAGGGCAGGAGGATGAGACCTGCTCTGCCGGGCACCAACTCCACCGGAGGAGCGTGACACGGTACTGCAAGCATGTGCTAGTGAACACATAATCACACTCTGCTTACACTGGTGCATGTCTACGCTTACGCCTAAGTCTCAGATCACAGCAAAAACTGAAGCTTTTGTTCAAGCTAATTCTAAAGTTGTGTGGCAGCAAAAACTGCTCGAGTGACCAAGCCATCTGCAGCATCTGGGGCTGGCGTGGGGGGGGGGGGGACGCTCAGCAGAAGGCAGCACAGTGGGCAGTGAGGACCCGGCTCTCCAGGCTCTGCAGGGCGCCACACACGGACAGCATAAGCGGACTGTCTTCCCACACCTGCCAAAGCCAGCCCTGGCCTGCGTCACAACCCCTGGATCACCAAGCGGAAGGCGGGCACATGGGCAGGGCCTTACCTGTGGCTACCCGCAAATGCCCATGCCCAGCACCCCACCCGGCCCCTTCCAGCCACTCCTCAGTACCCCACCTTGTCCTGCCCCTGGTCCTGGGTAGCAACTGCTTCCTTGGCAGCAAACCAGGGTCTGCCCACTCTCTGTTGGCCCCTGCAGCCATGCCTGTGCACCCTCAGAGGCAACATGACTTGGGTGGGGACCTGCTGGTCTGCTAGCATGAGCAGCCAATGTGGAGTAAAGACGCCTGTTCTTTCCCCCAGCCTCCTTAGCTTCCCTAGGAACTCGAGCTATACTGCAGCTATAATGGCCTCCTGGGGCTGCACTCAGGAAAAACACAGCACCCACTGTACACCACTGAGCACGGTGCCTTCAGGTGACCTACATGTTCTCAGAACTCCCTTCCTTGTTGCAGCTCAGCAGCGTCTTACTGTGGGAACACCTCGCTTTGCTCGTTGCTCCCCTAAAACTGGTAGTGGCTTCACCTCCAAGTTGCTACCAAAGAACAGACAGGTGGCAAGGTCCCAAGGTCACATGGTTCACCAGACTAGCCCCTCTGCAAGGGTCGCAGACAACAGACCCCAGCTCCTGCTGGTCTTCAACAGCTAAAGATAAAGCCTGCCCTTAGGGCTGCTGGGCACAACACCCCACATGCTGGCCTGCTCCAGTCACCAGCACCCATGCACTGCGAGAGACTCAGCACAGAGGTTCTGCTGTGGCTAGACAGCAATGTGGGAGCCAGGACCGAACGTGCAAGCCAGGCCCCCCACTGGGGACCAAACGCGACACCCAGTGACAGCAGCAAGGTCCCACCATCAGAGTGGTCAGCACGCTCCCAATCCTGCTGCATCAGCACCAGAGGACAGAGCACCTGCTTCCAGGAGCAGGTGTCTTACTACCAAGGAATGAGTGCAGAGGGAACTGCCCAAGCCAGGGCAACATACACCCCAGGAGGCAAGGACCACCCTGGCCAGCTTCTGTTGAGGGGGCACCCTCCAGCCCAGCTGCAGTCTCCTCCCAGGGCTACCACTGTATCCAGTCAGGACTGGCAGGAACCTCGCAGGGAAGCTGCCGAGGCTCCTACAGAGCCACCTCAACACAGGCATCCCATTCCTCAGGGCTCTCGTGTGAGGATCATATTCAGCTGAATACTAGTGAAACTAGGGACCAAGCCAAAGTGGCTGGAGGGTGGCACAGGGAAGATGAACAGGCAGAACACAGATGTGGGGCAGTAAGTGTCTCTGGGTACCATGGCAACAGCGGGCACAGGTGGGTCTGCATGTGCCCAGACCGAGAGCAAGCAATTCCTTTTCAGTCTGCTGTGTGAGGTGCCCACCATGCCCTCAGAGGTGATCATCAAGCAAAGGTTTGCGGGAATGCTGTATTTCTTCACAGCTTTTCTGCAAGCCTGAAAACCTTCTAAGAAATAATCTCTGGGACTGGTGAGATGGCTCAGTGGTCTAGAGCACCTACTTGGAACAAGCTTAGCAAAGCACAGGGATCAAGGTTCAATCCCCCAGCACCACATGCCGGCCGGCCCCGCCCCCTGGTGGGCTGAGCTGGCCATGCACACACACACACACACACACATAAATTAAATTAAAAAAAAAAAAAAAAAGAAATAATCTCTTAGGGCCTGGGGGTGAGCCTATTGGTAAGGCATTTGCCTGGCATGAGCAAGACCCTGGGTTTGGTCTCCAACACAACAACCTCTCACCAAAACAATTCTTAAGCATTTTTAAAATTAAAAAACACAATTAAAGAGTATGTTCTTTTGAAAGACGTAAAGCCTGAGCAGGATGCCACCTCCCAGGCAAGATGCTGTGTACTGGAGGATATAAGATGCTTCCTCATTCATGAGACTGCAGCAGGCAGAGGTGCTGGGACACTGGTGGGGCCAGCTGCATCCACCAGGGCCAGGTGAGCTCTGTCCCATGGCTTCTCCACTCACCCTGCTGTTGCCACAGCTGCCTTCCTCTGCTCTCGGTTACCCTTTGCTCTGCCCACCAGGAACCATACAAAGATGTCTCAGTTACTCTCTCCTCATTGCTGGGACAAATACCCGACACCCAAAATGAAGGAAAGAAAGGTTTATTTAGCTCACAGGTACTGGACGTTTCTGTCCATACTCGGCTGGCTCCAAGGCAGAGTGGCACAGGGCAGAGGGCAGCAGGTCCCTGGCAGCAGAAGACAGCAAAACAGCAAGAGCAAAAGGGAGGAGCAGCAGCAACAGTGACTGCAGACAGGAAGTCTCTCTCCCTTAAGATGCATCCCGGCTCTCCGCCCGTGAGTTAATCACAAACTTCCAGAAGTCCCCATCCCACGACAGCATGAGGTTTTGCGGGAGACAGGTAGACACACGCCATACCAGGGCTCGGGGTTACCCTTTGCCCTGCCCACCAGGAACCACACAAAGAATTTCCAGCAGAGGCATTTGTGACAGGGAGCAGCACACCCTTGCTGAAGTGCTACCAGCACTGAAAGACGGAGCCAGGGCCAGGGCAGGCTACAGGGCCCACCTCCTTCCCAGCCGCTCAGCACACAGTTGTTGGCAGAGCACAACACCTCCAAGTGAGGAAGTGGAGTCCGGCCTCAGGACAGCCACCTGCCAGCGCCAGGACACTTGGTACCCACCCCCCCAACCCCGCCGCCAAAGACAAAACGTAAGTCGGCTCCCCCTCTTCACACCACAGCACCAATTTCCAAAAACACAGATAGCAGGAAAGCCTAACTGTCCTGACTACTCTGTGAAAGAGACGCCCCATTCCTGATGTCATGTCTCCCTGGTGTAAAACGCAGTGCCTCGGGACCAGGACAGCAGCATATGAGCAGGAGCGAAACCAGGAATACAGTGATGGCTGAGAAATGAACCAATAAGGCTTCTGAGGACAAGGAGGAGGTCCTGTCATACTAGACATATGGAAGGCAATCTGTTATCCCTCAGGATTCCTATAAAGATGAATACTATGAAAATTCTGTACAAGGTTTCCAATTTACAGACAAGGAAATCTCAGAGGCACTAACCTGCACTGCAAGGCCATGTGAAGCATGGTAGCCGGCAAATGGACATGGCTACTACCCACCAGAAGCAGACTCCCCATCCCCAGCTCCCCACCACACCTGGCAAACATCAGACACTTTGCGCTACTCTTCCTCAGAACCCAGAGGGACCCCGTCTCTTTCCCAAGCCAGCACTCAAGCAGCACAGCAAACAGCCAACAGGAAAAACACAAACTTCTCTGCCCCCACCCATCAGTCACACAGCGGCCAACTGGCTGAAATCTGAGAATGTGAATCCTAATGGTCAGCGGCCCACATGGGAGCTTCTCCAGACTGCCCTGTATCTCCAGGACAGAAGTCATCCTGGCAATACCAGGCAATGGGAAGGAGCAAAGTAGCCACAATCAGAGGGAAAGGAGAAGCACTGATTCAGGGAGCCCTGACACAGGAAGAGTGACTTACAAGGAAGACAAACCCACTCAGGGAAGCTGGAGCCCTGCCTGAATGAACAGCAAGGAAAATCAGGGGCTGCGGGCATGGGTGAGAGTCTGACAGGAAACACGCTTAGCTAACAGAAGACTCCACTCTCAATGTTCTTTCCCCAGCAGCACCATCATGGGTATGGGAATTAGCCCAGAACATGTGCAAACATGGAAAGCAATTAGACCACTTAAGGATTTTTTTTTGGGGGGGGGGTGCTGGCTCAGAATGCCTTCAGGGCAGGTTTAGTAAGGCTTGAGGATCTGGGGATCGAACCACAGCAACCTGAGTCTGATTGCTCTGTTTAAGCAGTCACTAAACGACTGAGCTAATGGGCAGGCCCATAGACCCACTGAGAGAAGTCATTTTAGCTTGCAGGGTCCCTGTAGGAACACAGCCTAACTTATTCAATGAACGCTGTGGAAAGTACACCCAAGACACAGCAATGAAAATAAGATCATTCTCACACGTAAATGGTTAAGGCACAGCTATAGACTATGTTAAATATTTTGGGGAGAAAAAACAAACACAATTAACATTCAGAATTCAAGCTCCTCTAGGGTGCTTGAGAAATGGGGAGGATTTAAGTCTTATTACATATTTATTTCTTGTTGAGCACTCCTGTCCCAAAGCTTGGGACTCGAAGTGTTTTGGATTTTGAAGTATTTGCACGTACATAATATCTTGGGGATGAAACCAAAGTCTGAACACGAAATTCATTTATGTTTCTTTACATGTGACACACACAGCCTAGAGCTGGGGAGATAGAACAGTGATATAAGTGCCTGCACGGCAAGTGCAAGATCCTGAGTTTAATCCCTGGTACCATCAAAAAAAAAAAAAAACCAAAACAAAACAAATAAAAAAAAAAAACAGCCTAAAAATGTTTACTATGCCTATGGCTTTTTTTTTCTTTTCTTTTTTCTTTTTTTTTTTAAGACCAGGTCTTACTATGTAGTTTAGGCTGGCTTTGAGTTCTCTACATAGCCCAGGCTGGCCTCAAATTAAAGGTGATCCTCAGATTCTCCTATCACGTCCTCCCAAGTGCTGGGATTACAGGATTACTGGCATGCAACACCACGCCCAATTTATACCTTTTCACTGAGACCCATGTCATGAGATGAAATGTAGAATTCACTGCTTGGAGCACCATGTGCATGTTCAGAAAGTTTTGGATCTGTGACCATTTCAGGCATTTGGATTAGGGATGCTATCTGTGCAGACTTTATGAATACTTAGCACTCTTTCACTAGATCTTTTACTCACCTCTTTCTGACGACCTACAAATCGAATTTTCCTGTAGTCTTTCTCCTCATACACCTGAAAGAAAAATGACCATCTGTGATTTCTGCCTAACTCTGAAAGCGGTCACTTGGCATCAAGGTAAGTACTACAGAAAAGTGTTTTTCTCGACATTTTAGGCCACTGACAATGAGCCAGCAACAAAGGGGACAAAGTGTACTGTACGTGCGTGCCATCACACCTGCCAGCAATACTCCCAGGTGGGCCGCCCCTTCCTTTCAGGTAAGCCTTTGTTGCTTTTCTCTGTAAATGTATTTGGGGAGCTTTCTAGTCCGTTCTTTTTTTTCTTTTTTTTTTTTTGGGGGGGGTCCGTTCTTTTCTATCTGTCCACTCACCACGACAGGTGAGAGCTGCTGTGTGCGCTGGGCAACCCTCAACTCGCTGGACCTGAAGATTTCATGTGACACAAGCACCGAAGACTCTGATCCAGAGGACTGATGATTAAAAGTCCCCGTGGAAGGCTCTCTGCAGCGGCCCCTGAGACCCACTGGGCAGCCCTGGAAGGTCAGCCGTCGCCCGCAGGCGAGCCGACTTGGGCGTGTGGGACCCCGCGCGGGAGTGCGCGAGTGACGGCGGCGCTAGCACAACTTCCAGCCCCGCAAACCTCGGGAGAGGACCCCGCCAGTTCTACCTGGCCGCCCACTATCCGCAAGCCCCAGCCACTATCCAACCCCGAGCCTAGGGCTCGCGCGTCGGAAGCTGTAGTTACCTGGCCGGTATGCGTGACCTTCTCCCCAGTCGGCGACACCCGCACCCCGAAGGCCCGCACTGTTCGAGGTAAGACCAGCAGCCGGCGGAAGGTCACAGCGGCCGCCATCTTGCCGGCGACCCCTGACCTGGTGGGCGTCACTCAGAGCGCCGACGCATGCGCACGGCTTCCGGCGGGGACCGGCTCCCGGGACTTATTTCGCCCTGAGGGGGAGCGCGCGGAGGCAGAACGGTGGACGAGCATGCGCTACGCTGTCTGGCCGGCAGGTGCAGACTCCACCTGGGACTCCACCTGGGACTCCACCTAGGAGCAGCTGGGAGTGCGCGCTGACTGGCCCTTCCTGTTTGGGGAATGAAGCAGGGGAAGGTGAAAAGTAAAGATGCATTATATTCTCCTGGCAGTCGATAACCCTGAGACATTTAAATATCAAAGGTCTTTATTGGGTGAAGAAATTGATTCTTAGCAGAAGAAACTAAAAGCACATTCCCGTGGCAGATATTCGGCATTCTGGGATTTCTGCAACAGAGTCCCAATAAAACTACCAGTAAACCACAATTGATTTTCATCCAGCAAGCAAACACACTTGGAGAAAGGTCCACTTATGGAGAGCTGACCAAGTTTTACATTCCACCGCAAAACCCGGCTGCCCCTTCTCCCTGAGCCTCGGCCCTGTGACTAGTTGGCTGTGCAGGAACCTTCCACCGAGCCATCCGGGATGACAGTCACACAGGAGCCCGCCACGGAGGGAGCCAGATGATCAGCGCGGACCCTGGACTCAGCAGGGCGGGCGCAGCGCTGACCCCCAGGAGTCGGACAGGAGCGTGGAGGGCTGTGCGCGCAAGGCCCAGATCGGGCCTGGCCTTCTGGTGTCCCCTTCTCTCTCGCAGCCAGAGCCAGAGAATCAGGTGACTCCGGACACAAAGGCTAAGCGATGTACAGCAGGCCCGGAAGAGCACTTAAAAACCTCCGGGAAAGGGAAAGGCGTCCCCGGACTACGGTGGCGGGAGACAGAGTCTCCTTGGAGCTGGCACAGCTGTGCCGTGGCGCCCGCCTGGCAGGTGCGAGCGTGGGCCAAACGATCCGCACTGCGCCAGCCGCCGCCCTTACTGAGCGACGGGATGGGCGCGGGTGCAGACCTGGCAGCGCAGAGCCCGCGCAGTGGCCTGCAGGCGTCCACTGCCCAGCTTGTTCCATTTCTCCACGTCTAGAGCTCTCCAAGTGAGGGAAAGACAGTTGAGCTGTTGGCTGGTGTTGCTGTGATCCCTCACGCGTGTGCTAGGGTGGTACTGCATGGAAACGTGATCCTTACACTTTTTGGGTAGACATGGGTGTTTGTCAGATTTTGTTACGTCCAATTGGCTGCAATTTCTTTCTCTCTCTGGGTATACATTTTGGATCCCGCGTGCGTATTTCTTCCCGGGTAGGGCCAGAATCCAAGCAGGGCTTGTTGGGGGCGTGGCGACCCAGCGCGCCTGCGTCTCGGTCTCTGCGCCCTCCCCCGCCTCCCGTGACCGTCCGCCATCCTTCTTCCTGGCAGCGGCGTCCTCATCACCTACTACGCAGGCGTGCGCGCTGTCGCGAGGCGCGAGAGGCGCAGGCCCAGACATCATGGCGTGGACGCGCGCCCTCTGCTCAGGTTAGAGTTCGCGTGTCGCGAGGGCCGAGCTAGTGGGGCTGGCCGGGCACGCGGGGGAGCTGGGGCAGGCAGGTCTGCGGGGTGGGTGGGGGTCGCATGCCGGCACGATCCGACGAGAGGCGACAAGTGGGACGCGGGCCCTGGGGCGCGGTGACCTGGAGGGTGGCCCTTGAGACGGCCCGACCCTGGAGCCCTGCAGCGCTCACCCCAAGCAACAGAGAGCAGGGAGTGGCCTTCAAGGACAGGAGCCGGGCCGGGCGCCGCCACCACGTCCTCTCCCCGCAGGTTCTCGCGCCCTGGCAGCCCCGCTGATCAGAACCGTGCTGGCTTCCGTCACACGCCCCCAGCGACTTCTGCGTAGCTGCCCTGGGCCAACCCGTGCCCTCTCCTCGGTGCTGGCGGGGACCCCCGGACCCCGCGCCCTGCTGCCCCCGCACTGCCTCCCGCCGCAGATGCCTACAGCGCTGGGCTTCAAGACCAAGGCCGTACTCCGAAAGCGGTGCCGGGACTGCTACATGGTGAAGAGGAACGGGCGCTGGTACGTGCTCTGCAAAACCAACCCCAAGCACAAGCAGCGGCAGATGCTGTAGCCAGCGCCGGAGCTGCGCGGCGCCCTGGAGAACTATCTTGGTCTTGTCAAAGAAAAGTACAACTTCAGGGCTCTAGTCTTGGGTCTTTTGGGGCTGTGTTGAATCAGCTCCAGGACCTTTCCGTTCTTTTTACCAAGCCACATGTAGATTGGTCGGGCCGGAGGCAGATGGGAAGGAGCTTTCTCTTGGCTGCATGTCCCATTTGTGTTGGGCTGGAGGATGCAAAATGTGCTGAAGGCAAAGCTAGTTTATTAAGAAATTATTTTTCCCAGGAAGCACACAATGGAATGTATTTACATGACTGATAACACAGGCAAGCAGAAATGTGCAAACAGATAAAATGCTGCATGGTTGCTCCATCTCATGGTCTTATGATTCCCTTTCATGGTAATTGTGACACGCTAGCTTTCCTACCTTCTAGATTAGGGGATTGAGACATATGGGACTGCAGGTCACACTGTTGTTCAGGGTTGGAATTCAAGTCCAATCCCTGAGCCACAATGCATGACCACCTTTTTTTTTTTTTTTTTTTTATTTATGTGTGTGTGTATGTGGCCAGCTCAGCCCACCAGGGGGCGGGGCTGGCTGGCATGTGGTGCTGGAGGATTGAACCGTGGTCCCTGTGCTTTGCTAAGCTTGTTCTAAGTAGGTGCTTTAGACCACTGAGCCATCTCACCAGCCCCATGACCACCTTTTAAGTAGGACGTTAAACACCGAAGAGGACACAGGAGGAACGGCTGTGAGGGGATTTTAGCCTGGCACAAAGCCAGACAGTCAGAGACCGAGGGCTGACAGGCCACAGCTGTAGACAGCGGGTGCCAGGGATGTGGTCGTGGGGAGGAAGGTTTGGCCAGTGAAGGTCACTGGTGCCACCTGTCTGGGCCTGCAGCAGCTGAGTCCTAGGAGTCCTGGGACTCGAAGGAGAGTACAGCACTCAGAGCTTTAGTGGTGCCTCTTCTTCCCATCCCCAAAGCTGAGAGCTGAGAACCAGTTAGAACTCGGGCAAAGGACAGCCACCAACAGTGCTGACTTCCTGTCACTACCTCTGGGCTATTTGGTCAAGAGGGTGGTGAGGCCCACCAGAGGGTGGCTGCCTAGACCTGGTCTGGCATGGTGTTCATGGGTGTCTCAGTTATTTTTTACTCATTGCTGGGACAAAATACCCGACACCCAAAATTAAGGAAAGAGAGGTTTATTTAGCTCACAGTCTATAGAGGTTTCAGTCTATACTCAAATGGCTCCACTGCAGAGTGGCACATGGCGGAGTAGCAGTCGATGACAGTAGAAAACAGTAAAGAGCAAAGGGAAAGGCAGCAGCTCTGGCTTCTAGCCAGCCTCTCTCCCCTCCTTGTAAACAAGCTACCCTGGGACTGAGGGTGTAGAACTCACACAATGTCCATGACCTCCTGCTCTCTGCTGAGTCACTTAATTAAACTTAAACTCCTCAAGTTAATACAATGTATCAACCAGTACAGTGGAGGTTGCTGCAGGGCTGTGCTCAGGGCAGAGGGCAGGGTGGACACCAGGGGCGCTCAGGCCCAGATCCAAGTACAAGGACAGGGTGGATATGGCCCAGAAGTAGTGACAGGAAGAGTCAGAAGCACCAGCAGAGGCTACTTGGTCAAGGCCACTACTAGGAGCAGAGGGGACTATGTCAGACTCTGCCCCTGCTGCCAAGGGTACTACTGGTTACTAACCCATCTCTCAGCCCTGAGAGCTGGGTCTCCCTGAGGTACCTGCACCCCACTGGTAAATCAACCAGTTGGTGACTTCCTGAAGGGAGGGGCTGCCTGTCCACCACCTCCTGCTATTTCAGGTTTCCTGAAAAGTCCAGAATGTTAGGCCACAGGAAAAATAGGGCCACACTCCCATCCCGTCCCCTGGCAGTGGCAGTTAAGCTGAGTAGTCTACTTAGGAACTCGTGAAGCTGAACACCTCCCCAGCTCTGCAAAGCCGCCTTCTCTGTGTTAGAAAAATCGGGTGAGTGGGAGGCCTAGGGGCACCAGGACCATGGGGTGGTCACACACTCAGCATGGCTGTGGCCTTGTTGGCCAAAGTCAGTGTTCCGAGCCAGATCTGTCACATGGCTGGGGGGCTGACATAACTTGGAGCTGACCCAGGATGGTGGCCACAGACACTGAGCCACTTAGGAGCTGACCCAGCATTCTGCAGCCTTTTCTATCTGTGGGTGAGGTCTCCATCCCCACCTCTAGCCTGGGTGACTTTTGTGACCTCTCTGAATGGGACTGGGTAGTGTTGAGAGAAACCACCCCAGCTTCTGCTCTGGCCCAGGCACCTCCACAGCTGCATCAGGGCTCAGCAATGCCCAGGTGCCCGGAGAGATGCCTTTCACACAGTGCTGGGAGCCTAGGGTGACTTCCTGGCCAGGTGCCAGGAGCAAAACTTTGGGAGGACTCAGCCAGCTACTGGATGACAGCCACTGTGTGGAAACCCTGAGCCCTATCGCCCCAACACGTGAGAACATAGAGGCTGTTGCTACTGTAAGCATCTGTACCAGATGACCAGAACACACCAGGACAGAGCCCTGGACTCCAAGGCTGAAGCCTTCAGACCCAGGAGGACCCAGTCTTGGAGGCCCAGGTGCCAGGACAGGAAAGAGCCCAGGGCTCGGGTGATGAGAGGCGGGTGGCTCCTGAAGCACTGGGAGAGGCTCAGAGTGGAAGTTGGGTGGAAGGGCTTCCAGGACCATGGGAAATTCACAGGGACCCAGGAAAGACCGAGCCTAGAGAGGCCCCATAGCTGCGCAGCAGGCCACTGGTTGACATGAGCAGGTTTGATTCACACACTTGGTATGAGCTCTGGGCACTGCCTTGGCTGAGCCTCTGCTGTGACCCAGTGGCCTCAGCACCCCCCGTCTGGACCAGAGAAGAAGCCTTGCGCCTTCCCAGGTGCTCACACACCCACACTTGCGCCAAGCACATGGGACACCCAGGGCTGTCTCCTGCTGGGGAGCTGCCCCTCCCCCTTGTCTTCTCCACCTCCATCCTGACATCCTCCATCCCCTGATTGCCCACTTTTTGCCCCTCCAGTCTGTAAGACAAGGCCCTGCCAGCTCATCCTCACCCCCAGCTTTCAGAGCAAGCTATTCCCTATAGTACATTGCCATGTCCCTGGGGTTTATGAGAACAGTTCCTCTTTCTCCTTGGGATGGAGCAACGACTGCACTGAAGTGGGGAGTTGCATGTGATCAGAGCCCAAAGAGTAGCCCAGTTACTGAGTCTGGGGAAGTCAGCTCCCCTGGCAAACTCTAGGTGGTTTGGTTTCCCTCCTTACAGCACCCCCCGCCCTGCCAGCTGTGGGCACTGCAGAGATTTCACAGACTTCCCAATCTTCACTCTTTTTTAATAAACCAGCATAAAGTAGAATTTATTTACATAATGCGATGATCCGTGAAGGTTACCATAACACCGAGGGACCACATTAGCCGCCTGAGTGGAATTCATTAGAAATTAACTACCACTTAAATTAATTTTCCCACAGTCACAAGGCTGTAATGGCAGGAGCAGGCACCGTCCATCAGCGGGTGCTGACAGGCGACCTGTCACCGCTGTTATTTATAGGTGAGCATGTCAGCATGGAGCAGGTGCCAAGCGCAGAGCCTTCATACTCAGAGGCCACTTCCCGGGGCCCAGACGGCCCTGTGATAAGTGTGCCAGCCGCATGGATTGGTTCTCTCCCTGATCAGGTAGTGGCAGCCACTCTGGTCGGGGCAGCAGCCTTCTGAAGGTTTGGGTCTTTGTCTCAGAGCCAGACCACATACCGCCCACTCCCAGCAGCATTGGGAAAGGTCCCTTAGACCTCGTCAGAGGGCAGGGGTCTTCAGGCTGCCATGCCCAGAGTGACTGGCTCAGGATGCTCCTTTGCACTCGAGGAGCAGGGCCCAACCTGAGGTGGAATAGGCAGGGTCACGGGTCTAGTGCAGAAGGCAGTGTGTGTGCACATGTGTGGGTGGGTGTAGAGGGTAGCACTGATGTGTTTGTGTTACACATGCGTGTGCCTCTCTGAGTGTTAGTCTGGGCACAGGTGGTCTGGAAGCATCGGTTGAGCATTTGTGAGATATGTGCGTGTTGTGCACACACTCATGCATGCACGTGTATCCGGTGCAGGGTTGTGCAGCTGGGTGCTGTGCACATGCAGTGAAGGTTCACATCTGCATGTTTGTGTCTGTTCATGTAGTGTGCTCACACACGTGTGCTCAGCAGTGGTAGGTGTATGTACATATGCACTGACAGATGCTGCATGCTTAGGGACCCAGACAGGTAGGAGAGGCTTGGCCACTCTGCATAGAGGCCTCGTGCTGTTCTGTTCGGAGCAGCAGGGCTTGGCAGTGGATAGTTTCTTGAGAACATAGTATCACTCCAGGAGAATGAAGACCCAGCATTGCAAGGAGGCAGCCACAGCGGATGGGTCAGGGCCCACAGTGACTTCCTGACCGGTGAGGCAGCCTAGTACCTGCCCTTGGGAGAACCTGCTGGCACTTGGGAGGAACATCCGCAGGGCTGCGGAGACGGGTTCCATTTGCTAACATGGCTAGACAGGACTGGGCAGAGGTGATGGCTGGAGGGTGGGAAGGGCACCCACCTGAGACTGTGCTGTGCCATGCTTACCACCTCGCTGCCCCAGTGTGGGTGCTGACACTGCCACAGGACAGGGACTGAGGTGCAGCCCCAGGCCTGGGGTGGCTTCCTCATGGAGGCAGAACACAGACGCTGAGCTTACTTCTGCCCAGCTGAGCCCCTGCACAGCTACAGCAGCAGGCCACGTGTGACCCCAGGTGCTGCTGGGCATGTGACGACCCCAGGGAGCAGCCCTGTTCCCTGTGTGCACTGTAGGGGTCACCCTGCTGTCCGCAGCTGGCTGGACAGGATACAGTTAGGTTAGGGCTGTCTGGTGGGGCTAAATCATCATTCAGGGTAGAGAGGGGAGGCTCCCAGTGATTCAGGGAGGGGAGAGCCCCTGGATGGGAGGGAAAAGAAGGAAGGGAGGGAGGGAGGGAGGGAGGAAGGAAGAAGGGAAGGAAGGAAGGGGGGGAAGGGAAGGAAGGAAGGAGCCTGGGGAGATAGCTTGGCAGTCCAAGCGCCTGCCTGGCAAGTGCAAGGACCCAGGTTTGATCCCCAGTACCACATGCCAAGCCATCCACAGAACCCCAGGTATACTGTCCTGAGACTGCCAAAACCAGGTGTGGTGGCACACACCTGTAATCCCAGCAGGTGTGGAATATATATATATATATATATA